GGGGCTGTCACAAAGAAAGGGAGAGGAATTGAGTGCCAGCCTGAGAAAGGCGAAGCTGCCTCTCTAAAGCATTTTGGTGGCTTTGTAAGTTTGGGGGAAAGGGGTTGGGGGTGTCAATCAAGAATTATATCCAGAATACCCCAAGTGTTACAACTTACCGTATTTGCCGGCGTATGAGACGACTTTTTTGCCTTGAAAAGCATGCCTCCAAGTGGGGGGGGTCGTCTTATACGGCGAGTATATAACAAAAACTATATTTTGAGTGGAAATGTTGGGGGCTCGTCTTATACGCCCAGTCGTCTTATACGCCGGCAAATACGGTATATATATATTTCCATAGAGAGAGAATCCCCATGAAAAGATCCATACATACAGAGCACATTCCATGTTTACACATGCTTTTCCATTCCCCCAGCACCTTTTGCCTCTCTGAGTCTACTCAGAAAATGCTATCCCCTTCCACTTTATTCAAAGAAAATTCACATTTGTGTTTGTTTACGCAGAAGAAGGAAAGCAGCAATCCCATTCCTTTCACTTTCTTTTTTTCTGCAGCTCACCTAGGCAAGGAGGCATTTATCCATCCATCCATCCATCCATCCATCCATCCATCCATCCATCTACCTATCTCTCCCTCCCTCCACCCACCCATCCACCCACCCACCTTCCCACCTATCCATCCATCCATCCATCCATCCATCCATCCATCCATCCATCCATCCACTGTACTCTATATAGCCATCTGTCTCTCCAAGGACTTCTGGTCAGTGAACAAGATTAAAAACAAATAATTCCATTGGTGGGAAAAAAACAAATAAAACAGCGTACGCATAGGTGTGGGAGTTGCAACTTCCGTAGCTCATAGGCAAATTTTCCTAGAATGTCATGGCTGCCAGAAGAACCAGGTAAAGGCATGGTTTCCTTGTTTCCATAGATTGTACACCACGCCAGGCCCAAAACACACTTCCCTGTGGAGTTTGAGTACTGCAACCCTCATTTAAAAAAACAACAACCAGTGGACAGAATCACTGACCCAAAGTTAACTAGTGAGCTTCTATGGCATAAGGTGGCCTTGAACCTGGCTCTTCCTGGAAGTAGTTCATGTCCTTAATCTTTACATCACATTCATAAACCAACATAAAGTATTACACTAATACATTTTTGGCCTTTCCAGCATGACTAGGAGCTTGGCTTTTCAATGATATATAGTCTGAATTCTGTTTCAAGAGAGGGATGGAGATGTTGGTGCTCTCTGAGCTTGGTTGTCCGCTTGGAGATGTTTCATCATCCAACTAGATAACATTTTCAGTAGGACTAGATTTGGGGTTGGCTGCCTGTTTGTATTCAACAGCTTGCTGTTTGGTGGGGTGTAGTTTTTTCCTGGGTAGTTCCTTGTTTAGAGCATTGTCTTCTGCCTGGTTGTGTTCAGCTGGTGTTGATATCTGCTTATCTGAAGAGGAGGTGTTAAATCTTTTTGTTTCCTCCCTAGGCTTTTTATTGTCTCTTTCAAACGGTATGTAAATATAGTTTGTCTCTATATGCCTGTTGATGGTTGATAGTGAGACTGACGCAAGGTTCAGCCAACCAAAGCAGTGAACAATTACGCTCCAAACATGGCTAATAATGGGTTTGTGACAGACCTAAAGGTAGCCAATCTGGGCAAAAGTATTCCTCAACGTTATCAGTTCAGAGGTGGTATTTAGCAAGTTTGGACCAGTTCTAGAGAACTGGTAGTGGAAATTTTGAGTAGTTCAGAGAACCGGCCAATCCCACCTCTGATTGGAGATTTTACAGCATCTTTCTCCCACCAAGCCCACCAAGCCACGCCCATACAACTAGTAGTAAAAAATTTTGAATCCCACCTCTGTTAACAGTTGTTTAATGAGTGTTCAGAGTTTAAAACCCGTAAAGCACTTCTGGTAAACTGTTGTACCATGTCCATCATATTATAAATAGTCTTCAACTTAAAACCATTCATTTAGTGACCATTCAAAGTTACAATGGCACTGGAAAAAATGACTTAGGACTGTTCCTTGTACAGTTAGTTCTCTACTTACAACAGTTCATTTAGTGATTGTTTGAAGTTACAACGGCACTAAAAATGTGACTTATAACTGTCCCAAAGGTGCTTTTTTAATTGGCAACTGGACTTTCTTGTTTTTTCTTTGAAGACGTTTCGCTTCTCATCCAAGAAGCTTCTTCAGCTCTGACAGGATGGTGGGGAACGGAAGGATTGATATTCCTTGCAGACAGCTGGTCATTTTGCATCCTTTTCGAGGGCCATTGTAGCACTTAGAGGTTTATCTGTGTCCTCAGGGTCACCTGAGTAGTGCACCCTGTTCCTGTAGTCTGCAATTTTTTTCCCCCCCTGGAAATCCATTCCTACTCCCACACCATTCAAAGGGAGTTCATCCCAATTGTTGTAATTCAATTTTTTCAGTGCTGTTGCAACTTTTAATGGTGGCTAGATGAAGGATTGTAAGTCAAAGACTACATGTAGAGGCAACTTTACCGACTGGTTTTCCAACAAAAATTTCTCTAGCTACATCTAGAGGTGATGAATTCTCTCTCCACAAGAAACGAACATGCTCGTCCTCCCTTCAAAATTAACCAGACCAGGAAGCTGACTTCAGAAGCAGGCTAGAACTCAGTTTTACTGAGATGAGATGGATGAACAGGTCTTGACAAGATTGGTTGTGATTTTCCTCTCCTCTGTCCTTTACCGCCGTGACTCAGGGAGAAGATAGTCTGAGTCGCTTTCTAACACTAGCATCTTTTCTGGGGCTTCTGCTTTTTTTCCGTTTCTGTCATGGTTTCTCAATATTTCCCTCCTCTCCGGGGCTCTATGATGCCACAACTGCACTAGCATTATACGAATATGTGCTTGGATTTAATGGGTTTCACTTATTCCTCATGAATTAAACACCAAGCCAAAGAGGACTAACCTGTTTCTCTCCTGGAGTCTGCTGATTTCGTGGGTCTGCAGAAGCAACTGTTTCTCAAGCTTGTTGGTAGACAGGGAATTTTCCAAAACTTGAATTTCCAGGCGGGATGTTTGGTTGAGAACCTGGTGGTTAGAAAACGTGGTTACGCCGTAGAGCAGAAACAGCAGGGAAAAATCTCCTAAACCTTTTCTTGACCCTTATGATCATACTCAATCTTCAGGTGGTTTGACTTCAGTTTATTGTGTGATTTGTAAACCATGACTGATGGCTTAAAATACAATAGGAACTGAAGAAATTCTGATACAAATCAAGAATAACAATCTGAGAGATCTCACTGGTTGAGCACTTCTTCCAAAGTTCCCTCAGATATTTATGATAGACCACCAGAAATCAAGCTAATTCTAAAAATTGGCAAGAAACAACCTTGCTCCAAAAAAAACAATAATCACCAGAGATAAAATCCAGGAAAAGGCTACCAAAAGAAGTTCAGCTTACCTGTATCTCTACATCGGTGAGCTTCCGGGTTTGCTCAGCAGTTTGGTTAAGGAGGTTGGTCCCAATTTCCAATATGGCTGCCGTGTGGTCCTGTACAGAACTTAAATGGATCTCTGACATCTCCATCCTCACATTGTCCTGGATGTAACTCTCCAGCTGAAAGAACGTAAGCAATGGGGATTAAGTTTGAGGGGTTGTCACAGAGAAGAGGGGGTCACCCTATTCTCCAAAGCACCCAAGGACAGCAGAAAGGTAATGGGTGGAAGCTTACCATACAGAGATCCAGTCTAGAATTAAGGAGAAATTTCCCATCGGTGAGAACAATTAATCAGTGGAATAGCTTTTGCCTTCAGAAGTTGTGGATGCTTCATCACTGGAAGTTTTAGGAACAGATAGGATAGTCATTTTTCTGAATGGTATAGAATCTCCTCCTTGAGGCAGGGGGTTGGACTTGAAGACCTCTAAGGTCCCTTCCAACTCTGTTACTCTGTATTCATAGTTTCTATTTGTATTTTGTATTCTAAGTAGGGCTAACTAGACTGCAAAGCATCTGCACACATCTTCGTAGATATGTACATTACACAGTAGCTTTATTTTGGCTTGATTCTTGCATCACCAACATCTTCTGATTGCAAAGTTTAACTAAACAGGAGCTTAAGGACTCTACATTTTGCCAGGAGGCTTTGCTGAACTTTATCTTCGCTATTTGGCAAATCCCTAGCGCTTCTTCTTGCTTCTCTTTTTTAGGTGACTTGGCCAAGGCATGTAGAAACAATTTCAAGCAATCCTTGACTTATATCATTCATTTAGGAACCATTTAAAATTACAATAACACTGGGGAAAAAAAAGACTTACAATTTGTTCTTATCCTTATGACCATTGCAACATCCCCACAGCCATGATTGTGGTTGTGGGTTGTGATTGTGGGTTGAGAACTACCTGTACTTGCAAGATTGCCTGTTCCCAGTCCTAGACTAGGCATTCTTTATCTTCTTTCAGAAAACATTGTCACCTGTAGGATCCATGGGATATCCTTTCTCTGTTGTAGATCCTACCTTATGGAACATCATTATTATTAAAATGTGGATAGCCCCGATCTTTCCACCTTCCACCTAGCCTTAAAGACCCAGCAGTTTTCTATAGCAGAGTTTCTCTTCTTGGCAACGTTAAGATGGGTGGACTTCAACTCCCAGAATTCCTCCAGCTAACATCTCTGGTGGATTGAGCCAGACCATGGGATGAGCCCCTGTAGAATAGATGACCCTGGATAAGATGTGCTTGGGTTGGTCTTGGTTGCCTTTGTTAATCAGACAGAGTTAGTTTGGCCTAGTGGCTAAGGCTAGAAAGTGGGAGGCTGTGAATTCTAGTTCTGCCTTAGCCATGAAAACCAGCTTAATGCCTTTAGGCAGTCACTCTCTCTTAGCCTAACCCACCTCTCAGGGTTGCTGTTGTTAGAAAATAAGAGGAGGAAGGTATGTCGGATACGTTTGCTGCCTTGAGTTATTTGTAAGACTAATAAAGTCAGTACACAACTAACTACATAAAAATATATAATTACTTCTGTCAAAATATTTTGTACTATTCATAACTATCCTGATATTGAAATAAAGGGCCACTATATGCAGTGTTGCAGGCTAACTCTGCCCACTGCCAGGAGTTTGAACCTGACCAGTTCAAAGTTGACTCAGCCTTCCATCCTTCCAAGGTCAGTAAAATGAGGACCCAGATTGTTGGGGGCAAGAGGCTGACTCCATAAACCACTTATAGAGGGCTGTAAAGCACTAGGAAGTAGTATATACTCTAAGTGCTTATTGCTATGGTCAACTTAGTTTTGGACATTTTGAATATTTGAATATCAATTAAACTAATGCTGGGTAATGGCACATTATGTAGCAATTTACTGAAACATCTGCCTTTCCCTTCTTCTTCTTCTTCTTCTGCTCTCGAGTGTGATTTATTTCCCAAGGCCATTTCATACCTGGAAATCCAAGCCTTTGAAATCTGTCAGCAAGCTGAAGAAACAGCTGCTTCTACAAACTCCTGAAATCAGCACATTTCAGCGGGGAAAACAGATTTGTTCTGTCTGGCTTCATGCTTGAATTGAAATGAATAAATTACTCCAGTTAATCCAAGCATATTTTTGTAACCCCACTGCAGTGGTAACATGTGGGTGTCTTTTGAAGAGATAAACCAGACCTGTGAAATTCTTCCCTAGAAACCTTCCCGTCAGCGGAGGGGCTTATATGGATTGAAACAAAGCAAGGAAAATCAGCAAAGAGACTTGAAAGAAGGGGTGGGATTCAAAAATCCCAGCAACCGATTCGCTGCCCAGTTGCTGTGTGGGAGTGGCCATGGTGGGTGTGGCCTACTAGAACTTCCTGGAGGGCCGTTTTTCGCTTTCCCAAGGGTCCGGAGGTTGACCTCGGGCCTCTGGGAGGGCAAAAACAGCCTCCCCCGGGCTCTGGAGGCCCTCTGGAAGCCGGAAACAGGCCCGTTCCGTGACTTCCAGTATTTCCGGAAGGCCCTTACCTGCATCGAAAATGGGCCGCGTGGAGACTTCTGGGAGGGGAGGGGTGTGGTGGGCAGGGCGGGGCCAGCCGGTTGGTTCAAATACCAGTTTGGCAAAACAGATGCAAATTTGACATCTGGTTCGCCCGACCTGGTCCGAACCAGTAGAATCCCACCCCTGCTTGAAGGTAACACTGTAGGCCAGAGGTCTCCAATCTTGGCAACTTTAAGACTTGTGGACTTCAACTCCCAGAGTTCCTCAGCCAGCTTTGAAACTCTGGGAGTTGGTCCACAAGTCTTAAAGTTGCCAAGGTTGGAGACCCCTGCTGTTGGCCATACCCCAAACTAGAGATTTTTCCACCAAGGATAATAATTTGCTCTGCTGTTTCAGTGAATTTGATTCTCAATGTCTATGGAGATTCTCAATCACCCAGGTCATGGTTGTCCCAAAGGTGCTTTTTTCCAAAAGGCAACCGTACCTTCTTGTTTTTTTCTTGAAAATATTTCACTTCTCATCTCAGAAAGCTTCTTTAGTTCTGTAGAAGCATCTTGGATGAGAAGCGAAATTTTGGGGAAGGAAAAAAACCAAGAAATTTCAATTGCCTTCTAGAAAAAAAAAAGAATCTTTGGGATAGTTTGATTCTTATGTATACACTTCTTCCATTGGATTGCTTCTTGCATAGAGATGACACTAAATTTAAAGTAAACAGTTTGATATTGGGGTATTCCAATACAATGCTTCACTGTATCAATCAGTAGCTACTATCATTGCTCCTAAATTCATCCTAGGTTTAGAATATTAAAGGTTTTGCGTGTTCAAACAATGCAGCTTTTCCAAGTCAAGCTTTTATTTAACAATATCAGTCCCTTTACTTGCAACCCATGATAGTTTGTTTGGTTTTGTCTCCCCACCCCCCGGATTTCCTCATGTGGGCATCACACCGACCCATTGATCATCTCGGCATCCTATTCTCTGCTTTTCCTCCTCTCCAAAGGGGGTCTGGTAGAATTGATGTCCAGTGAAGAACAACAAACAGCACACGTCTGGACACAGTTACGAGTACAAGGTCAAGCTCACCCCAAGACACTTTTCTCCTCATTCACCTCTTGGTCAACAACCTTAGTTACATTCACAAGCTCCCTTCCTCTTATCAGTATTGAGAAAAATGGTTTACTTGGTGTTTGATTTGGTTGGGTAATGGTGGCCTGTGTGTCTTATGCTAGATTATAATGATTCATTTTGGTTGCTTTGTAACCTGCGTTACAGGTAGTCCTTAACATACAACCACAATTAGGACCACAATCTCCATTGCTAAACAAGATGGTTGTTAAGGGAGGTGTGCCCAATTTTATAACCTTTTTTTGCCACATTTGGGAACTGAATTATGTGGTCATTAAGTGAAACTGGCTTCCCCTATTGACTTTGCTTGTTAGAAGTCAGCTGGAAAGGTCACAAATGGTGATCACGTGACCCTGGGATGCTGCAACTGTCATAAGTACCTGCCAGTTGTCAAGTGCCTGAACTTTGATCACGTGACTTTAGGGATGCTGCAGCAGTGCAAGGATCGGTTGTAAGTTGCTTTTTTCAGTGCTGTTGTAGGTTTGAATGGTCACTAAATGAACAGTTGTAAGTCTGTTCATTTACCTGCATTGACCATGGATGTTTTATTGATAACTAGCCTGTTTTGTTGTTTTAAGTTATACTGAGGATGGCTGAGTTTTATGTTAAGCTGCAGATGGTTCTGAAAACCGCTTATGAGTCTCTTTGAATTTGATAGCATACAAATCCCATAACTATATAATCTTTCCGGTTCAAATCCAAATGTTGGAGAGGAGTGACAGAAATCTTGACTATCTCATTTCATATCATTCATTTGCTGACTCAGCCGGTTTTGTCCCAGATGAATTAACCTTGCCCTCTGGACAAAAGAACTAAGGCTGGGTTGGATAAAGACAGTTGGCATGACCATTTCTTTCCCATTTTATCATCTTAAACATGATAATTTGGAGACAACGGTGGGAGGCCTCCAAGACTATGTCTGTCCCTCCCTTCCTGCCCTCTGGTCCCAGGCAGTTTCCGGACAAGCAGAGTCTAGTTTGGAAATCTGGGAGTGAACTTGTGCCAGTATAGCTGGAAGCTGTTGGGTTGGGCATGGACATCCCTTAGCGGGGGTGGGGGGACAACCCCTCTCTCTTTATGCCTCCCATAGACATCTTTGGCAATTTGAATCTCACTGGCTCAAAGTTGACTCAGCTTGCCATCCTTCCGAGGTGGGTAAACTGAGGACCCAGATTGTTGGGGGGCAAGAGGCTGACTCTGTAAACTGCTTAGAATGGGCTGTAAAGCACTATGAAACGGTATATAAGTCTAAATGCTATGGCTATTATATGGTGTCCCATTTTTTACAGACAGCAGGTAAGAGAATCCCATCTTCTCGGCAGTTCTGTGTTTTGCCTCTGGTTCCATTTCTTGCAGACCCTTGCAAGCCTCTAGTCAAAATGTGACTTTTCTAGACAGCATTTTGGGTCAGCTGATAACCCACGGATGACTTTCCTTTCAGCTTGAGTAAGTGTCGTTACCACATTTAAGTTGTGTTTTTGATCAAGGTCTGTTTTGAAAATTCATTCCCATCTATTTTTGGTGGTGT